GTGTGACCTTGCCGTGCAGCATGAAGAAGAGGAGTTCCTCCATTTTCATCCTTGATATTAACGTCAAGCAACAATTCCTCAACTAAATACTTGCACACATGAGTCTGGCGCTCCGTAGCGACAAAATGCTGAGCTCCACGCTTGTTTGCATCCATAACATCTGCCACCGTCTGTGCTAACCCATTCCCACCCCCAATCTATTTGGCCAAATTCTTGAAAAGATCAAGGTTCCCGGTCCGAGCAGCATTAAGGAACTTCTCAACTTTCTCCCTCACTGCAAGAGCGTCTGAAGCATCGGGTGCCATACCCATAGAGAGTGTGAACTAAGAAAAATAGTGTGGACAGCCCTTCACAGAGATGATAAGCAAATGATTCTTGGTTTTAGACCTGTAGTGCCCTTCTGCTCTTCTACAAAAAAAAATTGTTCATACTCTCATATTGAGAGAACAAGCCATCCACATTCACAATCACTTTTGATTGAAACACTTAAGTTTTAATTATCATCTTCAATTCAACTTTGCATAGCTAAAATTCCATTCGGAAAGAAATGCATAATTTTAATAAAAAATGGCATGTTTTGTAAAACCTAAGGTCTCAATTATTCAAGCGTGAAGAACCTTAATAATGAATCAATGTCCTAAATCTAAGAGTAACCAAACATATATTAATATTTCTTGTTTGGATTATTTCGAACCATTCAAAAATGGAGTCCGTTTATTTTTATAAAATTTAAATTCAACTGAATGGCAATATTAACCTTTTTATTCAATTTATAAATCGATAAAAATGAAAAATACACACACAAAGTTAATAATCAACAATACTACTAACACAACACCAAGTATCATTACTGCTCTCTAATTAACCATACTAACAAATTTTTTACTAAAATGATAAATAGATACTCACTAACCTTGAAAGAAGATAAGACTGGAGACGTTGAGCGAGAAATGGAGGCGGTGGCAATCAAGCGAGGGTGGTGACAGTCTTTGAGCCACCGGCGGTGGCAGTCTTCAAGCCAGCGGCGGACGCAGACACGAGCGAGCGGCGGTCACAATCGTGATCTATGGTGACGAGTTGCGGTTGGGAGAGACTGGGATTCAGATCAAGCAGTGAGGGCGACGGACGAGCCGTGGTGATGAGTTGCGGCTGTGAGATCGAGCTGTGCAGAATTGTTAGGGATTTGGATCGATTTGGTGTGAATTCTGAGGAAGGACTAAGAGGAGGCACCCTAAATTATCCCAAAGATATACCTATTGCTGCGGTTCTGTCTGGCCACAACAAATTCACTTCAAAATTATCACGTATTTGCTACGGTTTCAGGCTGACCGTAGCAAATACTTACAAATTATCCTTTAATTGCTGCGGTTCCTCCCTTAGTGCAGCAAATAATCTAAAATATATCAACTATTTGCTGCGGTTCTCTTATGACCGCAGCAAATACGGAGCAGCAAATATGAAAAATTCTAGTAGTGAATAACAAACAGGTTTTGTGAAGTTAAGGGTGTTGCACTACCTTGATCGTGGAGAAGGTAGTAAATGTTATCCAGGACCGGTAACAACAGTAAATGTTATACTTGATTCAAAGGAGAAGAGTCTTAGCAGGTATATGATCATTGTGTGTGTATAACAATTCTTAGTTTTCTTTCAATTGATAGTTCACATTAGCTTAAATTTTGTAGATTATGACTTGAAATGAAGTTTGTACAGCCTATGAGCGGTACTCTGTTCCTAAGCTTTTCCATCATAAATGAGGATGAAAGTATTAAAATGAACTTCTAAAGAGAGGTATAGTCCCTCCTTTGAGTTAACTAATGCTAATGAGATTACTAAATTTGTATTGGTAAAGTTTCATGATGTTCAAGTTCCTAACCCTATTTTTGGGATTAATCGTTTCTTCATTACTTATGCTTCAGGATTTTTTATTCACATCAAATTATGTAATGTAGGACATCCCTCCCAAGCTGTCTGTGATTCGTGAGTTTCACCGCACCCTTCTCATACTTCTCTATTACTCATACTTGTTCTTTCTCACATTACTTCAGGTGAATTTAGTTTTATGAAGTTTGGTTCTTGATTCTTCCTTTTATTATCTTGTTATAAGTAGATGTTTTTTTCTTTCACCAGTCTCTCCAATCAACTGATGACATCTCACGTTTGTATTTTGTTCGTTGTGTAATTAGTGTTTATATTAAAGTCTTTCTTTTTGCTTATCATGAGGTTTGGTTGTGGTTTATTGATCAGATTAAACCGTCAGTTCTTAATGGCTTCACAAATAGTCCGAGAATGGGCTGGAATTCAGCAGTTCCCTGCTGCCACTCAGACAAAGTTACATGATTTGCTGGGAAAATTGAAGCAGGAGGTAGTTATCTCCCTATTAGCTGATTTGTAATGAGACTGTAATATGTTTTTTGAATCCTTGCAAATGTAGAGTTTTTTTTCATTCAAGTGCCTCACAGGTCCGTTTGTCCTTTCACTGTAATTTTTCTAAAAATGCTTATGAATTTATACATAGAGCCCAAGAGGCATCAATTAAAAGTGAAAATAATCATATGGATTACAGAAAGCTGACTAGAAATGTCCAAAGTTTTTTAATCATGTTGGTTGTTTTCCTGTAACAGAAGTTGAGAAATGGTTAAAGAGAAAACAACATAAAATGTTAGGACAGACATCGTTTAACAAAGTGATACTTTCATAATTTGTTTTGTGTTAAGATATGTCACTATTATTACTTAATTACTTAATTACAAGTTTGTTATGTTGTTTCATTTGCTATTTCAGGAGAATGCTCAATGTTTAGAACCAGTTAGAGTAATGATATGCAGAAATTATTCAAACGGGCCTTCTAGGTCTTTGGATCTTGTGAAGTAAGAGCAATTGATACTTTGCTTTTGTGAGAATAATTAATACTACGTAGCAGATACATATTCTTTATTTGAAAGTGGATTTGTATGAAACAGTGGGTATACTCTTTTATTTGAAAGTGGGTTTGTATGAAAGAGTGGGTATACTATTTTATTTGAAAGTGGATTTGTATAAAAGCGTGAGTATACTCTTTATTTTAAAGTGGATGTCTATGTAAGAGGATATAGATTCATATTTTGTGAGTTTTGTGAGTCTTGAGAAACATTAATAGCACTCGTAGTTACTATTTCATTGCAAAAAATAATAATATACGGTAATACTAATAAATTGCGATTTTTTTTTTTTTAAAATTTTATGACTTTTAGCGTCGACATGTGGACGCTAAAAGTGTTTTTTTATTTTTCCGCACCAGGCACCTTTTGCGTCAACAAAGTGGACGCAAAAGATCAATTTTATTTGCGTCGCCCAAAGTTGACGCAAATAAACTTTTTGCGTCGAGGCTTTAGCGTTAACCCATTAGCGTCCACATGTGGACGCAAATAGATTATTTGCGTCGACTTTAGATCTTTTGCGTCAACTTTTTGTCGACGCAAAAAACGATTTTTCTTGTAGTGGAAATTGCAAAGATACACAACTTTAACTCAACATACGGGTGTCACTAATTAGTGAACAAATTGGTAAATTTGTGGTCAAATAAATTAATATAATTAAAACATGATGTAAAACTTTAGTGAATGATTAATTGCTCCGTATATGATATTAGATTATATTACTCATATGACTATGACATTGTACTACCTCCGTAACGTAAATATGTTCCCATTTGAAAAGTAAATAGATTAAAAATAGTGAAAGGGGATATAAATTATTGAGGGTATGATGACAAGATAGTGAAATAATGTGATGGAATGAAGGATAAATCCAAAAAAAGTAGGTGTGATAGTGTATTATTTTTAAAATTATTGAGGCTATGATGAAAAGATTTAGAAATGGGAAGATATGTATGTTACGTCCAAATAAAGAGAGTGAGAAGATATGAATGTTACAGAAGTAGTACTTTTTAATACGTAGTACGATAGTATTATAATTGAATATCACATTTTTATCCATTTGTTAGAAATTATTTTGAATTTATGTAGATGATCATTTTAGTTATTTTTCATATAATTTTTTCATAATTTTACTAATAAACTACGGAGTATAGTTTTTATAGCAATTCTACCAATTTATCTGCTTCATTGAAAATTCCATCAATGGCGGCATATCGATCGATTCAACCAATTTGTACGGCTAAACGGGCTATTATGTTACTGTATTATTTATATACAGAGTATTTTATGCAGAGCATTTTAATACACATACTCCCTCTGTCCCTTAAAACTTTACATCTTTCCTTTTTGGGACATCCCAAAAAACTTTGTCACTTTCCCTTTTAATCAATTATTTTGTGGTTTCTGTTATTTCTCTCTCGTCTGCATAAACCTCAACCACACAATTTTTACTTTATTATTCTCCGTGCCAGTCAACTTTGGCAAAGTTTTAAGGGACGGATGTAATATTACATTTTGGCCCCACTTATACTAATGTCTGGCTCCGTCCATGCTTTTTCTCCCGTCCCAAAAAGAACTTCACTTTCCCTTTTTGGCAAAGAACTCATGGTTCACAGGAATTCTTACACATTTCTCTCTCTGCACAACTCTCCACTACAAAATTCTCGCTTTCTTAAATCGTGTGTCATTTGTACTACAGAAGAACTTTCAGGGATGAGGGTAATACTCCCTCCGTCCCGCTAAGATTGTCTCATTTTACCTTTTCGGGAAGTCCCACTAAGATTGTCTCATACCAAATTTGGTAAAGATTGTGTGGCTCTAAATCATTCTTACTTTATTCTTACTTTATCAATTTAATATCAACCACACAAACTCACTTTTCTTAACAATCGTGTCACCTTCTTCCGTCCCAATCTTAGTGGGACGGAGGTAGTACTATATTTCAATGTAGGGACAGGGAGTACTATATTTCAATGTAAACACTCTTTGAGGGACTAGAAGTAAGACATGCTCTAATCGGAAGGAAGAGGAAAGAGATATTGCTCACAAAAAAAATAATTGAGCATAGAGAAGTAAACGATTCAATTAAATCACAAACAACAAAAATAATTGAGCATAGAGAAGTAAACGATTCAATTAAATCACAAACAAAAAAAATGCAATAGAGTAGCGCCAAAGTTAATTACTCCGTAAATCACAAACAAAATGCAAGGCAGCTCAAAGTCACTCCGTACAATAGAGTAGGGCCACTTGACGTGAAAACAGCTAAGCAAGTGTACTAAAAAAAAGTGTACTATATACTGTGCATTTGGCGCAGTACGTAGATGCTGTCAAAGGATTAGAAGAAGAGGCCAGAGATATGTATTCTGAGTTTATCAATCTCAGCAGCGCTGAGGTTGTTGAGATGTTGGTTCTTGATGGCTGCTTTGTGGTCGAAATCCTTCGGGCAAGTAGGCCGGCGGATTTTAAATTGGATGACGCCGACAATCCATTGATGTCAATAACGCAATTCATACTTCGTAATTGCCACCATGACTTGTACTGCCTGGAGAACCAAATACCATACATTGTGCTCCAGACATTGTTCACACTTGCTGAAACAGAGGATGATGAGTGTAATATGTACATGCGCTCCCCATACTCCATACCTGGTAACATTCACAATCTTATCCTCGCGTCGCTTAGCAATAGCTCTTCCATCCAAGACCGGATTTGCTGATCCATAAAAGCTTCCATTTTCGAACGATTAGGTAACCATTCGCTGGGAATCCGTCGTGTACTGGTTCTCCATAGGCTATCACGGCCATGGCCTTCATATTCTAAGTATATTAACTGTTTCTTGAGAGAAAAATATCTAATTATTTGCTATTACCGATTATTGTGCGAATGGATGTGAGAAACCTGAAGCGTAACAGTTCATTTTATAGTTGAACGATACATGCTACTTGCTAAGATTGGGATACACTCAATCTAATTTACTGTGCTCACCTCCCAATCTAACCAATTGAAACAAAGCAACTCAAACAGTAACTCAACAACAGTAGGCACCTCCACATTGAACCAATAGCAATTCCGCAAAGATATTTCAGCTATCCACACCTCCTTTTGGACCAATATCTTTTGATTATAATTGTTTTGTATTTTTTGACTAATAAATAAATAAGGAATTGATGTTGACATTTATAAGCGGGAATACTGTTCATCAAACTTCTTTTGCTTTTATATTAGAATAAATAGATAAACTCTCTCTTTCTTTCGCAAAAAAAAAAAAGAAATGCACGGAGGGGTTAATAGACATCAATATTGCAGGCATATTATTAAACAATTTGACTCTAAATTGACTCCATGGAAACAAAGAAACTTATCTCAAAGTGGCAGACTCATCTTGGTTCTGTCATGTTTTGAGCTCCATTCCAATGCATTTGTTGGCTACTGATAACATGCCCTACAAGATTTTAAACATTCCGGGGAGAAAAAAATAGCCAACTTTTTTTGGGTGGGGGGCAACAACTAACAAAAATAAATATCACTGGGTGAGATGGTCCAAACTTTGCTATCCTAAGGAGAAAGGAGGTCTTGGAATTTGTTCCTTCTCTGATGTGGAGAAAGCTTTTATTTTAAAGCTTTGGTGAAAATGGAAAACCTCTAATAATAATGTCTCGGGTGATTTCATGAAAGCTAGATACCCAATAGAGCAAAATATGAGTCAAAAAATTATTGATTCCTCAATCTGGAAACGGATTTGTTCTATAAATGATCTTGCTAATCCCCTTGTTGACAATTCTACTCGGTCTATCATCTGGAGATGAGACTCTAGTGATGGTAAGTTTTCACTCAAGTCTACCGACGACTTAGTTAGGCATTCTTTGGGCTCAACATTTTCAATGGAAGATTTTATTCAAAGGGATACTATCAATTTCTGACAAGCTTAGCCATTTTAAAGTTGTCATGAATTGTGCGAAGATTCTAGCTTTCATTTACTACTCAATTGTAGGGGTGGACAATTCGGTTTACGGTTCGGTTTTCGTCGGTTTTGGTTCGGTTTCGGTTTATTCGGGTTAGGAGAATTTGTACCAAACTAAAACCATTTGTTTTTCAATTTGGTTTCAGTTCGGTTTCGGTTCGGTTTGGTTTGAAGTTTGGTTTACCAAAGTAAAAAATATTATGTTTAATTTAGTTTGATTTGATTCTTTTGCTTATGATTATTATTTTATTTGATCAAGTTCTATATTTTAGAATTAGAAAATGAAAGTAGTAGTCCATCTCATCTTTTTTTAATTAATTGATTATTTAAATAAAATGTAAAAGGAAATAAAAGATAGAAAAATAAATACTAACATATTATAAATTAAAACTTCTAACATCTTTTTTATCACTACAAAAAATTCACTTCTTACAAAAGTAAGATAGTTTAATTGATTAGCATTTATAATATCAGATAAAATATTTAAAAAAAACCTAAAAGCGTCAGTGGTAAAAATGTTGTAATATTCACAATTTTATTCAAATGAATCATGTAAAAATATAAATGCAATTTTCTATTGTTATCGTCAAACATAATAAATACAAATATGTCGTATTAGCTAACTTTGTCATAATGAATGTATGAAATGTGTAAAAGTTAAAATCATACGAGTATATGCTTAAATATGTATTTTCATGTCTAAATTATTTATTTATATCTTAAAAATGAAGAGTGATGATAAATACAAAGTACACACACACAGATACATGTTGTTCGGTGTTCGGTTTTGTTCGGCTTTTATCGGTTTCGGTTTAGTTTGGTTCGGTTTAATACGGGTTGGAAGAAATAGTACCAAACTCAAACCAAATTACATACGGTCCGGTTTCAGTTTGGTTTAGTTCGGTTTGGTATGATTCGGTTCGGTTAAACCAAAGCGTTATGCCCACCCAACTCAATTGTGTGAATTCTTAGATCAACATTGGAATTACTTCTAAATAATATGGAGAAATTGTGTAAAGAAGAATAATCAATCAGCATTCAATATAGTATATTCATAATGATATTATAAGAATACAAGATATATCTAAGAAAAAAAATTGATATAGCCGTATCTACAAACCTAGAGCTCTTGATACCATTTTTTTTCCGGTTCCCATGAACCTTATTATAGCCGCCGCCGCCTCGGGGTCGACTACCGCCACATTTACGGTAGTCTCCGATCCTTTGAAGATGAGCGCGGCTAATATGGCGCAGATCACCTCCTTCGCGTCGCTGAACACGGTGCTTGCTTTCAGCGTGCCGTTGAGTTCGCCGCCTGCTGCTGCCTATGTCCGCGCAGCAGCCCACCTTCTCTGCGTCGCTGACCACGGTGCTTGCTTCAAGCGCACTGTTGAGTTCGCTGCTTAATGCTGCATACATCTATTCTCATGGAGATCATATTCTCAAAGATGTGCCTTCTAATCTTCCGCTGGCGGATATATTTACTAAGATTTTTTTTTTAGTTTGCAATTTCATTTTTTTTAAAAGACAACTTGCGCATTATATCTCCCGCACAGTTTGAGGGGGTGTAATAGGCTAATATAATTAGGAAATTACCTAATAGATATTTAGGAATCTGCCTAATATCTATTTAGGAATACTTTGTATTTTAGCAACTCTTCTATTATAAATATATCTGTCAGGACTCCTATTGGAGTACCCCTTTCCCATTATTTCACACTGTTGAGATAGAAAAAAAGTGGGTGCTCTACCAGAATGATACATGCGGAATTAATGTGTAAAGATTATGCCTGTTTGAACCCCTCTTCCTTAATTTATAGGAGAGAATTCGAGCATCCTATTACAATTAGGACATGTAGGCATGTGGGTCTATCAAATTAAAAAACTCACTCCTCTCAACTAAAAGCCTACTAATACTAGACTAATTTCACAAAGATAATTACAGTGAATTTGAACACAATTAAATAATGTTCTAACAATGCAAATTGTACATATTCTAGGGCTAATTGGGATTACTTTGTTCAGGTTATGGACATTCCCTCTACCAGGCCAGCTAATACTCATTCTGCTCAACAAATTTTTTTAGCTTGGTGGGAAAACGTTAGTTGATGTATTCAAGCACACATTGACAGGTATCATTTGTTGAAACATTTGGAAAACCTATTTCAGTATTATTTGGGGTTCTATGTCTGCGGATCCTAATCTGCACACTTAATCTTGGATGCTTAGCCTTTCTTATCTGAAGCTTTGAACTATTGGTAAGGTTCTTTATGAGGAGAAACTTATACCTACTAATTAGTCTCTGTCCAAAAAGATTTTTAAACCCATTTGATGGATTAAGCCAAGATTTAAACTGAAATTGAACATTGGTGCTTCATTTTTACCTGGACAAGCCTCGGGTGGAGCAATTTTCAGAGATATCAATGGCAGATTGATCGTTGCAGCTAGAGATGGCAATTTTGTCCGACCCGTTGGATACCCGCACCGAACCGATTTGGTCAAAATGGGGAAAACCGGTTTGACTGGGAAGGGGTATGGGGCGGGGAATACCCGATTTTTTAAATGGATAATGGTGCGGTTATGGTTCTATACTAATCCGTAACATTATTAATAAATTCTAACTCTTTATATATAAGAATAATAATCAGTATATGTGCTAAATTGTGTACACTAAATCATATATATTATATAAGTATATAAAAAATAATACACCACAGGACCAAAACTTTTTTATGTGAAGGATTACTATTTTTTGAAGTGTGGAACATTAATTTGATGGTGTAATGAATTTAGGCCTAAAACTGTTTTTTCGAAGGATTACAACTTTTTTTGGCCTAAAACTAAATTTAGGCCTAAACTTGCTGATAGAGTATTAATTCTAAAGAGAAGTGAGATCTAGAGAGAGAAAGTGAGTAATTATATTTCTCCACCCCCTATAACTAGCCCCAAGGGGTCTATTTATAGGTAAAAATGTGGACTTGGGCTCCTAGCCATGGGCTTAGGAGGCCCATTACAATAATCATGCCTTCTTTGGGCGAAATAGGGCCACTAATGGGCTGAGTACAATACTTAGTAAATAAAGTGAAGAGATGTATTCTGCCCGAACGAAGCCTGGCAGATGTGGTGCCTTTCGGCCGATACGGTCCCATGGCCGATGCGGTCCATGGGCCGATGCGGCCCCAGAAGCCCAACAATGTGTGCTTCCAGACCCGGTTGAGTTTCCGGCCGATGCGGGCCCCCACGGGCCGAAGGGGGCCGCGTGAATGTTTTTCTGGCCATAGTTGACTTGAGTATGCGGGCCATGGGGTCCAGGCCCATATACTCTATCAGGAGTCCCCCACTCTCTGAGCTGAGGTGAAGCCGAGGCGAAAGGGAGTACTTGTTCCTTCCCGGCTGGCCGTTGTGTGAGCCTAAGGTGCTTGGTGGCCGAAGAGGTTCTGTTTTGATTTTGGATGAAGCGGTTTCCTTTTTTTATGTAGACGAAACGCGTTTGAGGATTCATAATCTTGATGCGGGCCGATGCGCTCCGGTGGGAGTGTTTTGAGGACGAGACGGCGCGCTTTCTTTTCTCGTAGATGTGATGAACTCTGGTGTGGGTAAGTTGGCCTGCTTTCATCGCCATTTTTGTTGGGGCCGAAGAGCTCCCATCTATTCTTTGGCCGTAGCGATAACATAGTTTTATGTAGTGAAGGTGATTGATTCTGTCTGTGGACGATGCGGGCCGCGCGTCTTTGACTTGCCATGCAGCCGTAGCGTTTTGACTTGTGGGTTCTTGCCTTGGTGAGCCGACGCAGTCCCCCCAGTGTACGTAGCCGTTGCGCGCTCGATTTTGCTTTTTGGGTTTCTAATTTCTGGGCTATGTAGCCGATGCGATCCTCAGTGCTTTTGAGGTGAATTGTGTCTTGTTGGTGAGCCATGGCGAATTCTTTGTGCATTGAAGCCGTTGCGCTTCCATTTATGTTGTTTTCCTTTTCCTGTAGCCGATACAGTCCCCCAGTCCCCTACTCCTTTGGTAGAAGAGTATTTGAGGCACAAGGGAGTCATGATGTTCCCGGGCCGATACGGTACCCCATGCGTTAGTCGTGAGTCCAACCCTCAGGCAAACCTGTCCAAGGTAACCCTGTGGGAGAACCCTTGGACGAAGGCCGCAATACCAGGGTCATCATCAAACGATGTGCGTGTGAGCAGCCATAGCGGTACCTGTGGTTCTTAGGGTTGCTTTTGGGGCTGTAGCGCGTTTTGACTGATGCGGCCATTCCTTTGATAAGTTGGCCCGTTGCGGTTTATCCTTGCTTTTGAGTGAGTAGGCCGGTGCCCACCCTAGTTTTGGCTTGTTCGGCCGTAGTGGTGGCCTTAGAGTGGAATGTGAAAAGACGGGCACTGATTGGTCCTAGGAGAGGCGCCGTTGAGGTGGCCAATTGGAGATTGCCACGTGTAGTGAACGTTGGAGGGTGTGCCTATAAATACCCCTAAACCCCGAGGCGGTACTTCATTTGCAACCTTGCTGAGCAACGAAGTGCTGTCCAATTTTTTAGAGAGAGAAACTTCCGGAGCGTTTCTTCAGGTCTTCATCAACTTTTTCCAGATCTTCAAATCTTCCAAGGTCAGTTTCTTCCTTGTTCTTTGTTATTTTCTCATACTTTGCTTCCTAGGGGGTACGATCTAGTGTTTGTAGGAAAACTCACTTAGATCCGAAAACCACCCTTAGGATTAGGTTTTAGATGTTATGCCGTTTCCTGACGGCCGTAGCGCTCCCTCCCCCATTGATTTGACAGCCTCGTTGGACGAAGAGGATTGGCCCTTCGACGAGGACGATACGTCTCCTGGAGTTGATTTGCGATTGATTGAAGCCTTTGAGGTCGAAATGGAAAATACAGCCGACTATCGTACTTCTGTGGACGAGGAGAGGTTGAGTGCCGATGCGGGAGCGCATCATTCTGGTGAAGTCGAGGCGACATCCAGCTCGCCTCTAAGGGGGGACGAGGCATCCTCTTCTGCCAACATTCCTTGCCCTCCGCCGATATCGTCCGTAGCGGGGGAAGGCGCTTCAGCTCCGGAGACGAAGAAAACATACCGGCGGAAGCAGCGTAAGGGAGTACCGCAGGGGCACTCGCAGCTTGACCTCAGTAATCTGTATATCATTCGGCCGGAGGGGTTCCTCGGCGAGTACCACGTTGCTCAGTTGTACGTGGGGCCCTATGGACGGGTGCGGGCGCCAAAGCCGACGGATCACGTGTTGAGCCCCCCTTTGGGTTATTTTGGGATATACCCAATGAGTTTTGCGATGGGTTTGCAGTTCCCTCTCCATCCTTTCATCAAGGAATACCTCGATATGGTGAGTCTACCTCCGGCCTTGTTGACCCCCAATAGCTACTCGCTCATCGTCGGCTTCCTTATCCGTTGCGAGGAGTTGGGCTTCTCGCCGACGACTGCGCTATTCACGAATTTGTACCGAATAGGCCGAGGGAGCCATCAGAATTGCGCCGGTTATGCTGCCTTACATCAGGTTCCCAAGAGGAGGATGTTTACAGACCTTCCTTCGTCTATCCATGTTTGGAAGGCGAAGTTTGTCTTTGTTAACCTTGGCCGGGGCGGTTTCTTCCCTTCTGTGGGTCATAGCGGCCTTTTCGAGTTGCATAATCCTCCGTGGAATGCCGAGATCAGTAGGCAAGTAGAAGCTTTCATCAAGGGCGGGCCGAGGAGCATAACAACGTACATTACGGAGTATAAGATGGCCGCCCTCGGCTTCGTGAGATACTACTGTCCTGGTGATGTGGACGATGGCTTCTGGCCGAAGATGGAGGGGTCATATGAACAGGCCGACGGTCCCTCACTTGGTGTTCCCGCTGAAGCCGAAGGTTGTCCTTCGTCTTTTTACCTTTCTTGTAGTATGTTACTTGCTATTTTTACTGACGTTCCTTTGTTTTGTGCAGGTTTTGAGATGGATTGTATGTCTTTCATGGCTCGGGCTGCAAAGAAGGCCGATGCGGAACTGAAGGCCGCCCAGGCCGCTGAGGAGGCCAAGAAGTCAGCCAGTGGTTCTCAGAGTGGCGCCGAAGCCGTCAAGAAGCCCGTGGCTAAGAAGAAGAGCAAGAGGGCCGTCGATGAGGGCCAAAAGACTCTGGCCGAAGCTGGCCTGAATGTGGTGCAAGCCCCAAAGAAGACGAAGAAGAACGATGGGGCCGGTGCTCCCTCCGCCCCAATTGCTGAGGCTGCTTCAGCCAAGACCCTTCCCCTGGTAGATCTGGATGAGGGGCCCTCTTCGGCCATGATCGCCGCGGCTTCCCGCGTAGTTCCCTCTACGGCCGCTGCTGCCCGCCTAGAGGAGGCCCTTGCCAAGGGAACGTACGAGGTCACCGTACGTTACCCCGTTAAAGGCGGGCTTTTTAATGAAACCGTCAGTGGCGATGATGTGCTTGCTCAGGCTATGCCTGAGTATGACCGGCAGTACCTCAGCCGGCAAGGCAAGCATGTCCATTTGTACGATGGGGGGCTGGACTACGTCGTCCAGGTAAGATGCTTCCCCACACTGTGATTTCTCCTTGGCTTTTATTTTCATTTCTGATCTTACTTCGCCCCGTCCAGGGTGCCCTGATGCTGAGGGAGCAACACTGGAGGCAGGAGGCTGAGATAGAGCGCCTGAGGAAGGTGGAGGCGAAGGCCGTCTCGGCCGATGAGGCCCTCCAAGACCTTAGGGACAAGGCCAAGGCAGCGGAGGACGAGATGAAGCTCCTCCAATGCCAGCTCAATGATGCCGAGGCGGCCCGGAAGAAGGCCGATGAAGCTGCTGCTGCTGCTGTCAATAGAGCCGCGGAGGCTGAGAGGCTTAAAGCTGAGGCGGAGAGGGCTGCTGAGAAGGCCGTAGCCGACTTCACGGTCGAGGGGTGGAAAGCCGAAGATCAGATCCCCTTCTGCTACAAGGTGGTGGCCGAGAGGCTCACGGATTGGGTGACAAAGGATCCTGCCGGCGAGGACTTCTGGATGAACGAGACGCAAGCCTTCTACAACTGCGGCCAGTACAGGATGCAGAGGCTGATTTACAGGAAGCTTCGTCGTCGCTTCCGGAAGATGAGGCCGAGGGTTTTGAGTCTACCCCGGGGGATGAAAAATCTTGATGAGGATATGAAGCTCCCCCGTTGGAGAGGCAGCCTCCGATCCTTAGTTCGGACGAGGGGAAGCATCTTGGAGCGACAGCGACGACTATCTACTCAAAGGCCCAGCGGACTCCAAGGCCGGTGAGGATGGTGGAGATGATGATGCCGGTAGCGGCAACGGAGAGGACGCTGCCCAAAGTAAGGACCAAGCCGATGCGGTGGCATAGTTTGTATTTTAGTTGACTGTAGAGGCCGCAGTCCTGAATTATATGTAACGGCCGATGCGCCCTCCTTTTGTACCTTTTAAAAAATTAATGAACTCCTTTTTGCCTCAGTATGAATGTGTTGTTGCTTCGTCTGTGTCGCCTTGCATTTGTATGTGTTTATTTCGCGATTTTTACCAAGTGTCAGAATTGCATACACCCCGGTTTGATTGAGACAAAGCGTTTCTTCGTCTATGTATTTACGTAGATTGTTTTCCTTGGAATTTTCCTAAGTTTGGGCCCCCCAAATATACCTTGTTTGCCTAAGACGATGCGAACCTCCAACCGGGTGTCTCATGAGGACGATGTGGGTGGTACAACGTCTTGGGTATGTTTGTTGTGGGGATGGTGTGTCCCTTCGTCTGGGGTGAGGCCTGGCCCAAATGTCTTGGAATCTTTCCAAGTATCCAATTGTCTCCCAAGTGTCATGCGTCGGCTATTGTTTTCTCCGAGGTTTTTGCAACCATGTGATTTCCCTTGGTTCTCGTCATACCTAGTATTGTTGCTTATGGAGACGAAGCGTCTCTTCGTCTTTGGCATTTAAACTTAGAATTTTCCCGAGAACCTCTCCTTTTAACGGGGTAGGTTTTCCTTGTGTTATGGCCGGAGCGGGGTCACCGGGTTTATGCTTTGAGCAATTCCCAAGTTGGGACGACGCGTGTACCGTCGGGTTCCTGTATGGTAAACCTGAAGTGTTAAAGACGGAGCGAGGCCCGGATGTAGCATGGGTAACGCATTGAGGCCGGCGAGTGCACAGTCCGTCGGCTTCCCTTTTTTTGGGTGGCCGAAGGGTTACTGTCCCTTCGTCCATGTGCGGTAGTTTGTCCGCTGCGCGTTTCACGTGGGTTAGTGTGAGGGAGTAAATACGCCCTCGGCTTGGTGTGTCAGTGGCATCTTTTTTGGCCTTTCCAAGTCTATCGGCGACGCGGGATCGGACTGGCTATCGTCTTTTGACGGCCGCCCTTTGTGGTCCTGAGTGAAATTTTACTGACGGGTGGAGTTTTTGTAACCTCAGCCTTAATTCAGGCCTGTCGTCTTGCGGTTTCCGCGCGGACGACGCGGTATGCTTCTCCGTTTGAAGACGTCGGACCATGCACACAGGTCCTTCGTCCTGCATATCGCCGGCCGATTTGGGTGTTTCACCGCTTGTGCCGATACGATATTTAGGTGCGTTTGTCGATGCAACGGATTTGTAGGTGCGTTGTGGGTTGCAACGGCCTTAGGTGCGTTGTTTATTGCAACGGCTTTGGGTGCATTGTTTATTGCAACGGCTTTATGTGCGTTGCTTATTGCAACGGCTTTGGGTGAGTCGTTTATTGCGATGGCTTTAGGTCGCATCGGTCCTGGGTGTTATCACCGCTTAGGCCGATGCGGTCCTTAGCTTTTCCTTTGAAAGAATAGATTGAAACATGATCTTTATTCAATAAGTGGCGCTAGGCCGAGGGTGTTTCATTCAACCAATAAGCCGAGGGGTGGGGGACGTTGCCCACTTCACCACTTCTCGAGTTATTGGTAAAATTTCACCAGATGGTGTACATTCCACAATCGTGGTACATCTAACCCATTAGGGTTCTTTAGTCTATAGGTGCCGGCTTTGATGACAGCGCTGATGATGTAGGGCCCTTCAAATTTGACGGCGAGCTTTCCTCCTTCCGTTGGTTTACTTGCTTCCCTTCGGCAGAGGACGTAGTCCCCCACTTGGAATTCGCGAGAGCGGACCTTGGCATCGTAGTAGGATTTGACTTGTCGTCTGTAGTTCTCCGCTCTGAGGTAGGCCATTTCTCGTCTCTCGTCGATGAGGTGTAGGTCCACCTTCATGGTTTCTTCGTTGGCCTCGGGGTCGTATTGTGTGACCTGTCGGCTGGGAAGCGTCACCTCAGTGGGAGCCTTGGCTTCGAAGCCGTAACAAAGGGAGAATGGTGTCTCCCCGGTGGCCCTCCTCGGCGTAGTGCGGTAGGACCATAGGACGTTGGGGAGCTCGTCGGCCCAACTTCCGCCTTCTTCCTCGAGCTTCTTCTTTAGCCCCTCCAAGATGGTTCTGTTGGCATTCTCAACTTGACCGTTGGCCTGAGGGTAGGCGACAGAGGAGAAACGGTGTTTGATGCCCCATTCTTGGAGGAGGCTTTGGAACGGTTCGGCTTCAAACTGGGTGCCGTTGTCCGATATGATCTTTTGTGGCACGCCGAAGCGGGTGAGGATGTTCTTGTACATGAACTTTCGACACCGCACCCCGGTGATGCTTGCGAGTGGCTCGGCCTCGACCCATTTGGTGAAGTAGTCGATGGCGACGATGATGTATCTGTTGTTGCCTGCAGCTCTTGGTAGTGGGCCGACAAGGTCAATGCCCCATCTGGAAAATGGGATGGCAGTGCTGACCGGGGCGTAGTTGACAGCCGGTCGGCCAGGTGCCCTTTGATAGTGTTGGCATGCGGTGCATCTGCGGGCGACCTCTGCACAATCGCGTGCCATCGTCGGCCAGAAGTAACCTTGGATGACGAGGCGGCGAGACATGCTGAAGGGCCCTTGATGTGATGAGCACACGCCGCAGTGAACTTCTTCCATGGCCACTTCGGCCTCATTCTAGTGGAGGCACCGGAGGAGGGTGCCATTGTATGATCTCTTGTATAGCTTGTCACCCTCAATGACATAGCTTGGCGCCCTGAGTTTGGCGAGTTTGGCCCTTTCCTCGTCTTCAGGTAGTGTGCCGGAGGTGATGTAGGTTGCGATGTCAGTGATCCAATCCTCTGGCTGGTGTTGTATGGAGAGTATGGGGCTGGCGTGAATGCTCGACATGCTCAACTCCTCCACCTTAGCTATCTTGGAGATGTGCTCAGGGGTGTCGGAGCTGAGTTTGGAGAGTGTGTCGGCCTCGGCGTTCTCCGCCCTTGGGATCTGAGTGATCTAGTAGGTAGCGAACGTCTTGAGTAATTCCGCAGCCGCCTCCTTGTATTGCCTCATCCTTCCTTCTTTGGCCTCGTACGAACCGTCCATCTGGTTCACAACGAGTTTGGAGTCGCATTTGATTCTGATGTGGCGTGCTTTGAGGCCAGCGGCTAGTCTGAGCCCGCTGAGGAGCGCTTCATACTCGGCCTCATTGTTGGACACCTTGAAGTTGAAGCGGATGGCGTAGTATGCTCTGAATCCTTCTGGGGAGATGAGGAAGACGCCGCCTCCACAAGCTTTGGTAGCTGAGGACCCATCTGTGTAAAGGGTCCAGGCTTCGTCTGGTTCAGCTCCTGTGGTGGTTATGGCCGTCTCCCTTGCCGTGCATTCGGTGACGAAGTCAGCCAAGGCTTTCCCCTTGATGGATGGCCTCGGCTTGATCTCAATCTGGTACTGGCTCAAGAATATTGCCCATTTGATCATCCTTGGAGAGCTGGTTGGGCTCCTCATGAGGGCACCCAGCGGCTGATGCGTGAGGACGTGCACGGGGTGAGCCTGGAAATAGTGTCCAAGCTTCTTCACCGTGTGGATGATGGCCAGCACCGTCTTCTCAATGGGGGAGTACCTGAGCTCGGCCTCCCGTAGCGTCTTGCTGACGTAGAATATTGCCTTTTGTACCCCGTCATCCTCCCTGATGAGTACGGAGCTGATGGCCGACGTGCTCACTCCTAAGTAAAGGAAGAGAGTCTCGCCGGGTTGGGGCTTGGATAGGACGGGTGGGGAGGCGAGATATTGTTTTAGCTCCTCAAAGGCTCGTTGGCACTCCGTCGTCCATTTGAAGCTGGTGTCCTTCCGCATTATTTGGAAAAAGGGAAGAGACTTCTCAGCAGATTTTGAGAGAAAACGGTTCAGGGCCGCGAGGCGTCCCGTCAGCCGTTGTACCTCTTTTATGTTGCGGGGTGGCTCCATGTTGATGATGGCTTGTATCTTCTCTGGGTTCACTTCAATGCCCCTTCGGCTGAATAGGTATCCCAGGAATTTACTTCCCTGGACGCCGAAGGTGCATTTCTTTGGGTTGAGCCAGAGGTTGTATCTCTTCATGATCTCGAAGATGTCCCGGAGGTCGTCGGCATGAGTTGTGGATTGTTTGCTCTTGACGATCATATCATCGACGTATGCTTCCATCGTCCGGCCTAAGACTGCTCTAAAAACCCGGGCTACCATTCTTGTATAAGTGGCGCCGGAATTTTTGAGCCCAAAGGCCATGACGATGTAGCAAAAGATTCCCTCCGGGGTCATGAAAGCAGTTTTCTCCGCGTCATCTTCATGCATTGATATCTGGTGGTACCCTCTGAACGCGTCAAGGAACGACATCAACTCGCACCCCGCCGTCTCGTCCACCAACTGATCAATGTTAAGGAGAGGGAACGGGTCCATTGGGCACGCCTTGTTCAGGTCGGTATAATCGACGCACATCCTGAACGTGGGCGGCTTTTGTGCGAGGACGACGTTCGCCAACCACGTGGGGTACTTCACCTCTCTGATGTGTCTAATGGATAGCAGCATGGCCACTTCGGTCTTGACGAACTCCCTCCTGTCGGCCGAGAGGTAGCGCTTCTTCTGTTTGATGGGGGAGGATGTCGGATCGACTGAGAGCCGATGCGTGATTACCTTTGGGCTGATGCCCGGTATATATGTCCTCTGGTCCCCATGCGAAGACGATTGTCACGCCCCAGACCGCAATCCAAGCGCGTGTACAACCGCCGCATAATTAAGTGACGTCACCCGCGAGTCAACCCCTCTTAATTACACAAGGCGTTCGAGAAAACAATCCATCCATACTCAGTAGTAAACATACATAACAACATCACATTTAAACCAATGAATAGCGGAAATATTCAATGGTAAGTCATAAGCCACAACCGGCCAACAACATGGGCATGCAAGCCCCAAAAATAGTTTATAGTAGAACAAATATCCATGAGCAAGTGTTCGGTAGTTTGAAAGAAAATAAGGAAGCACGAACCACGTCTTCCTGATTTGATATCACCCGTGAGAAGGTGCAAGTAGCAAGCCCTAGCTTCAACCTGAAAATGGTGGGGCCCCCCGAAGGGGTCAGTACAAGTACCGAGCGAGTAGCAGGCTAAATATAGAATAACTAGCGTTTCAAGTATAAGACCCAAACATAGGGTGATACTTATATAAATAGTCTTTCCCCCAAGTTATGAAATACTTAATAGTATATATATACTTGGAAAAATATCCGATCCGTAGATCACCAGTTTATTTGGGAAAAATAGTAATAGTCAATATTCTTGACTAAAAACCCCAACCCACCCATATGCCTATGAGTGTATAGAACTCCTCCTTGTTCAAGTAAATTATCATAAGGACACCGCCCGGTCCTAGATCATTATATGTAATCTATGAGTTTTGAGGATACACACCCGATCCTTGGGTACTCCACCCTATATAACCGAGTTTTGAGGATAACCGCCCGATCCTTGGGTACTCCACCCTATATAACCGAGTTTTGAGGATAACCGCCCGATCCTTGGGTACTCCACCCTATATAACCGAGTTTTGAGGATAACCGCCCGATCCTTGGGTACTCCACCCTATATAACCGAGTTTTGAGGACAACCGCCCGATCCTTGGGTACTCCACCCTATATAACCGAGTTTTGAGGATAACCGCCCGATCCTTGGGTACTCCACCCTATATAACCGAGTTTTGAGGATAACCGCCCGATCCTTGGGTACTCCACCCTATATAACCGAGTTTTGAGGATAACCGCCCGATCCTTGGGTACTCCACCCTATATAACCGAGTTTTGAGGACAACCGCCCGATCCTTGGGTACTCCACCCTATATAACCGAGTTTTGAGGATAACCGCCCGATCCTTGGGTACTCCACCCTATATAACCGAGTTTTGAGGATAACCGCCCGATCCTTGGGTACTCCACCCTATATAACCGAGTTTTGAGGATAACCGCCCGATCCTTGGGTACTCCACCCGACCTATGACTTACCACATATCACGCTAGATAGGGTCTATATCATATTTAGTCATTCATAACTAATTCATTACATAAAGCTTATGTATCACAATCCATGCAAATCCATGCAACCATATAAATGTATAATTAACTAATATCAACCGATATTAATTAATTCATTAACCATCGGTCAACGTTGTTGTTGACCGCCATCTCAAGTCTTACACTTATTAACTAATTCATCATATAATTAAGTTAATAATATCCATTTGTGCTTCTTTTACTCTTAAAGCAAATATGCATTATATATAATTTCTCATATCATATTTCATGCATAAACAATTAATTCTTTTTATACAACTTAATAATGTTGGCTAATCACATGTTTAAATATCTTTTAAACCTCATTATGAACACATATAACATTTATTTAGGTAATCTCATAATTAACCCAAAAGTTATAAGATATTAAGCCGTCCACTCACCTTGAACTAGCGTTATGAAGTTCTACCCTTCTTGGTTGAACTCCGGTGAAACTCCGGCGACTTTTGGTCAACTCCGGCGACAATTCCGGCGACTCTTCCAACTTTGTGAAAACACTTGAAATACCCTTTACAAGTGCCTAACAAGGTTTTAACATCATAAAACCTTAATCAATACAAATAACCTATAAAAGGTTATTTTCCGGTGAACCGGTCGTTTTGGCTTCTAAGTCCGTTCTTGGACATAGAATCACTCTCCAACCCATAAATCTATACTTATAACATGTAGAACCCTCTTAAGGATCCTTCACATGATATATATCTTATATGGTAGAAGAAAAATAAAGGAGAAGTTATAATAAGGTCATTACCTTAAGTATTCACACTTTTTCCTAACTTTTTCCTTCTCAAACCTCCTTCTTTGGACCAAAACCTCTTGAGCTCGTGCTGCAACAATGGAGGTGGTCTTGGGAGCTTTTCCTCTTCCTTTCTTGATGCTTTGGTCGAGCTCAATGATAGGGGTGAGAGAGGGCACACCCTTTTTGTCTCAAATGACAATAAGAGAGGGTGAGGGGTCCTTCTTGGTACTATAGATGCCAAATGGTCCTCCTCCACATATTAATTTGTCATTCCAGCCTACATGGGTCTTGTTGAGCACACAAAAACGTGGGGTGGCCCCCACTCATGTGGGAGGTCATCCCTTTGTGTCCCGATGTGTACAATCGGTCCCGAAAGTTGTATTTTTCGGACTGTTTTAAATATATTTTATTTTATCGGGTCCAATAAAATATATTACGTGTTCCCAATCGTAACGCCCCTTTGAAATAATATATATTCCAAAACTTTAATTTAGAAGTCTCCGAAATTCATTTTCGGGCTCAAGTCTGTTAAATTGTCGGTACCGGTATTTGGGCCTCTTTTGCCCAATCGGCCAACACAAGGCCTTTCCACGACCCAAGTAAAATATCCACCACCATATAAATATTATCTTGACCAAGATGAATAAAATATGTGGTCTCGGGAAAGTTGGGTGGTCCCCGCTCCCGATGTGGGTCCCACGTGCAATTTACTATTCACGCGAAAGAAATAATAAAAATTTACAACTTCGTAAATTCATTAATCCTTTAATAAGGTTCGATACATTATTTACATAAAAGTAAATATATTTGGGGACGGTGTTACAAGTTCACCCCCCCTTATTTGGGATTTCGTCCCCGAAATCCAAGTAGCTAATTGAAAACAAATGGGTATTGCTCCCTCATTGAGACCTCGGTCTCCCAAGTTTCTTCTTCGACTCGATCACTCCTCCAAAGAACCTTTACCATAGGAATTTCCTTATTCCTAAGCTTCTTCACTTGTTGACCAACAATCTTCACTGGTTCCACCGCATATTGCAAGTCCTCACGGATCTCTACCGGTGGTTTCTCAAGAATATGAGATGGGTCTCGTATGTACTTCTTGAGCATTGATACATGAAACACGTCATGTATCTTCTCAAGTTCAGGCGTCAACTTGAGACGGTAAGCCACGGCCCCGATCCTTTCAAGGATCTCAAACGGACCTATGTATCGGGGGTTAAGCTTCCCCCTCGATACGAATCGGATGATGCCCTTCCAAGGAGAAATCCTTAGGAAGACCTCATCACCGACTTCGAACTCTAACGGTCTCCGCCGTTTATCAGCATAGCTCTTCTGTCGGTCCTGAGCAGCCTTCAATCTATCCCGAATGATCCTTACCTTGGCATTGGTGATTTCAACCAGCTCTATCCCTTCGAGTTTGGCCTCGCCAACCTCATCCCAACACAATGGTGTTCTGCATTTCCTCCCATACAATGCCTCATATGGGGGCATGCCGATACTTGCCTAATAACTATTGTTATAGGCAAACTCCACTAGGGCTAAATGCTTGTCCCAACTTCCTTGGAACTCCAGCGCACATGCCCTAAGCATGTCTTCCAAAATCTGTATCACCCGTTCGGACTGTCCACCCGTCTGTGGGTGAAAAGCTGTGCTAAACTTCAGTTTAGTACCCAACGATGCTTGAAACTTTGGCCAAAATCAGGATGTGAACCGTGGATCCCTATCCGAGACAATGGATATTGGGACTCCATGTAATCTCACAATCTCCTCCGTGTATAGCTTGGCTAATCTTTCAAGAGGATAAGTAATGTTGATAGGCAAAAAGTGTGCACTCTTGGTGAGCCTATCAACCACTACCCAAACTGCATCATAGTTGTTCACTGTTCGTGGTAGCCCCACCACGAAGTCCATGGTCACGTGCTCCCACTTCCACTCTGGGATGGTGAGTGGCTGCAAAAGCCTTGCCGGGTGCTGATGTTCTGCCTTAACTTGCTGGCAAGTAAGGCATCGACTCACATACTCTGCGATGTCTCTCTTCGTACCTGACCACCAGTAACTTTCCTTCAAATCTCGGTACATCTTGGTACCTCCAGGATGCATAGCATAAGCTGAAGAATGAGCCTCCTCAAGTATAGACTTCTGGAGTTCCTCATTCTTGGGTATGCATACACGATCCTTAAACAATAAGAGACCGTCATCACGTACTCGAAAGTTCTCAACAGGCCCCTCAATGATTCGTTCACGAATCTTCTGACACTCCTCGTCAATGGCCTGACATCTACTGATCTCACTCAGCAATGTAGGTCTGACCTCAAACCTAGCAATGAGCGCCCCGCTCGTGGATACCTCCACGTGCGCACTCAATGCCTGTAGACATGTGAGTAGCGTCCCCGACGTACTCTTCCTGCTCAGTGCGTCGGCCACTACATTGGCCTTTCCGGGATGATAGTCGATGATCAAGTCATAGTCCTTGATCAACTCCATCCATCTCCTCTGCCTCATATTCAACTCTTTCTAAGTGAATACATACTTTAGGCTCTTATGACCAGTATAAATGTGACACGTCTCCCCGTAGAGATAATGCCTCCAAATCTTCAATGCAAACACTACCGCCCCCAACTCTAGATCGTGAGTAGGGTAGTTCACCTCGTGTTTCCTCAATTGCCTAGAAGCATAGGCAATCACCTTACCGTTTTGCATCAGTACACATCCAAGCCCTTGGATGCTAGCGTCGCTATAAATGTCATACCCTATCCCCTGTATGGGTAGGGCAAGGACTGGTGCTTCGGTAAGTCGTTTCCTCAACCCCAGGAACCCCTTCTCACATTTGTCGTCCCATATGAACTTGGCCCCTTTCTTTGTGAGCTTCGTTAATGGGGACGCCAATACGGAGAATTTTTCCACAAATTTACGATAGTATCCCGCTAAGCCAAGGAAACTACGTATCTCCTTCGCATTCCTGGGTCTCACCCAATCCATGATCGCTTTTATCTTGGCGTTATCCACAGCAACACCTGAACCGGATATGACATGACCGAGGAAACCAATCTCTTTGAGCCAAAATTCGCATTTGGAGAACTTGGCGAAGAGTCGCTTTTCCCTTAGCCGATCAAGTACAAGCCTCAAATGGTGTTCGTGCTCTTCCTCGCTCTTGGAGTATATCAAGATGTCGTCAATGAATACTATCACAAATTGGTCTAAGTATTCACTAAACACACGGTTCATCAAGTCCATGAATGCCGCCGGTGCGTTGGTTAAACCAAACGACATCACAGGGAATTCATAATGACCATATCTAGTGCGAAATGCACTCTTAGGTACGTCACTCTCCTTGATCTTCAACTGATGATACCCCGACCTCAAGTCAATCTCCGAGAACACTATTGCTCCTCGAAGTTGATCGAACAAGTCGTCAATCCTCGGTAAGGGATACCTGTTCTTGATGGTGACCTTGTTCAACTGTCGGTAGTCGATACACATTCTTAAGGTACCATCTTTCTTCTTTACGAATAGTACGGGTGCTCCCCACGGTGAATGACTGGGTCAGATGAACCCGTTGTCCAATAGTTCTTGTAGCTGGACCTTCAACTCTTGAAGTTCGGCCGGTGCCATTCGATAAGGAGGAATCGAATTGGGTTTGGTCCCCGGCTCCACTTCGATTACAAATTCAATCTCTCTATCGGGTGGAAGCCCCGGTAGGTCCTTGGGAAAGACGTCCGGGTACTTGCACACGACTCGAACATCCTTGATGTCGACTTCTTTCTTCGTATCGTCTACCACGTAAGCAAGGTATGCGTGACATCCCTTCCTCATCATCTTCCGTGCTCTCATCACGGATATGATACAAGCATTAGATTTCCCCCGATCTCCTTCGAAACATAGCGTGTTTCCTTGATCATCCTCGAGCTCCAACACCTTGGTGTAACAATCTACTCAAGCATGGTGTTTCTCGAGCCAATCCATTCCTAGGATTGCATCGAACTCCAACATGCTCAGAGGTACGAAATCACAAGTCAAAGGTTGACCCGTCACTTCTACCTCACACGAGGGATAGTAATGATCTCTCTCCATGTCGTCTCCTAACGGTGTGGAGACTAGCAACGCTTGCGTCATAGGTGTCAATGGCACGTCAAGGCCCTCGGCGAACGCCTCACTCACGAATGAGCGTTGTGCCCCGGTATCGATGAGGATCCTCACACACCTACCATTGATCTTTAATGTTCCTACATTTATACACCATGTAAGATACATTTTCTAGTGTTTTTACACATCTTTAGGAGGTTATTAAGTTAATACTAATGTTTGGAAACAAACGGGGGTCTAAACGTAGAAGAACGGGGCGAAAAAATCAACTTTCGGGTGTTGGGGGTCCACGCACGGCGTGCCTGGGTGGCACGCACGGCCGTGCGTGCAACAATCTCACCCTGCTTGCCACTGCCGGCCAGGCACGATGCCAGGCACGGCGTGCCTTCGGCCGTGCCTGGCCCAAAAAATTCCTTCGGACACACTGCCTTCCAGGCACGACGCTAGGCACGGCGTGCCTGCGGCCGTGCCTGGCCCAATTTTTTTTTTTTCTTCTTCTTCGGGTGCCACTGCCTTCCAGGCACGATGCCAGGCACGGCGTGCCTGCGGGCGTGCCTGGCCAGCAGTGGCTGTTTCCAGCCCGATTCGGCCTAACTCACCCGGTTTGACCCCGGGGTGGCCCGCACTCAATCCCAACGACGTATATGACCAAAGTAAGCCTAGAAATACATGGGAATACGTGTTTACCTGCAACGGAGTCCGGGTTTGCTCTCGCATCCGCCTCGGTCATTGCGTAGACCCTTGCTTGGGCCCCGCCTTGATTGACGGACGTAGCGTTGCTCATCGTTGGTTCCGTATGGTTTCCTTCCACGGTGAGCCCTTCCTCGGCTTGCAATGTCTCTCGTTGCCTCCTCCATGGGCAACTTAATTTCATATGGGTTGTGCTCCCACATTTGTAGCACATCGGGGGCTCGTTGCACTTTCCAAAATGTTTCTTAGAGCAATTAGAACATTTGGATGGTCTTAAGGAGTAAGGAAAGGACGTGTGCCACTTTGAGTTCCTTTTCTTTTTCACCGGTGATGCCGGTGCCGTAAGAGTGCTTTCTCCTCCTTGGTCGTTTGCCCAAGGATGGGTTTGGCTGACAGTCATATCACGTTGGGAGGTGGCCCGATCTCGCCTCGCCTGACGCCTACGTTCGTTCCTCCTGGTGTTCATGTTACACATCGAGCCCACTTGATTAGCGTTTGCCGCTTGGCGGCCCTCACGGCCCCCATGGCCTATTCCTCTCCCCGTAAAGGCTCGTGACACAGCCCGGCTAGCCTCAAGGTAAGCTACCGACGCTTGTCCCTTAGGGTCATTTCTTGTTGCCATTCGCTTACCCTCCATTTCTGAAACGGAATTTGGACGAGTCTTTAGACTCCTATGAATTACAATTGACGGAAAAACGTTATAGACACGTATCGACCCAAGTCACCACCATACCAATTGTTAAGGGTACCGTCTTAACAATTAGAGGCCTTGCAACTTGAGCACCAATAGTCCTATAAACGTCAAAATACAATGCTCATGGTTTTCGGTAAGAACTCTTTTGTAAAATCTTTTGTGAGAGGTTGATTATATAGTTTAGAACTGAGATGGCTCTGATACCACTTAATTGTCACGCCCCAGACCGCAATCCAAGCGCGTGTACAACCGCCGCATAATTAAGTGACGTCACCCGCGAGTCAACCCCTCTTAATTACACAAGGCGTTCGAGAAAACAATCCATCCATACTCAGTAGTAAACATACATAACAACATCACATTTAAACCAATGAATAGCGGAAATATTCAATGGTAAGTCATAAGCCACAACCGGCCAACAACATGGGCATGCAAGCCCCAAAAATAGTTTATAGTAGAACAAATATCCATGAGCAAGTGTTCGGTAGTTTGAAAGAAAATAAGGAAGCACGAACCACGTCTTCCTGATTTGATATCACCCGTGAGAAGGTGCAAGTAGCAAGCCCTAGCTTCAACCTGAAAATGGTGGGGCCCCCCGAAGGGGTCAGTACAAGTACCGAGCGAGTAGCAGGCTAAATATAGAATAACTAGCGTTTCAAGTATAAGACCCAAACATAGGGTGATACTTATATAAATAGTCTTTCCCCCAAGTTATGAAATACTTAATAGTATATATATACTTGGAAAAATATCCGATCCGTAGATCACCAGTTTATTTGGGAAAAATAGTAATAGTCAATATTCTTGACTAAAAACCCCAACCCACCCATATGCCTATGAGTGTATAGAACTCCTCCTTGTTCAAGTAAATTATCATAAGGACACCGCCCGGTCCTAGATCATTATATGTAATCTATGAGTTTTGAGGATACACACCCGATCCTTGGGTACTCCACCCTATATAACCGAGTTTTGAGGATAACCGCCCGATCCTTGGGTACTCCACCCTATATAACCGAGTTTTGAGGATAACCGCCCGATCCTTGGGTACTCCACCCTATATAACCGAGTTTTGAGGATAACCGCCCGATCCTTGGGTACTCCACCCTATATAACCGAGTTTTGAGGACAACCGCCCGATCCTTGGGTACTCCACCCTATATAACCGAGTTTTGAGGATAACCGCCCGATCCTTGGGTACTCCACCCTATATAACCGAGTTTTGAGGATAACCGCCCGATCCTTGGGTACTCCACCCTATATAACCGAGTTTTGAGGATAACCGCCCGATCCTTGGGTACTCCACCCTATATAACCGAGTTTTGAGGACAACCGCCCGATCCTTGGGTACTCCACCCTATATAACCGAGTTTTGAGGATAACCGCCCGATCCTTGGGTACTCCACCCTATATAACCGAGTTTTGAGGATAACCGCCCGATCCTTGGGTACTCCACCCTATATAACCGAGTTTTGAGGATAACCGCCCGATCCTTGGGTACTCCACCCGACCTATGACTTACCACATATCACGCTAGATAGGGTCTATATCATATTTAGTCATTCATAACTAATTCATTACATAAAGCTTATGTATCACAATCCATGCAAATCCATGCAACCATATAAATGTATAATTAACTAATATCAACCGATATTAATTAATTCATTAACCATCGGTCAACGTTGTTGTTGACCGCCATCTCAAGTCTTACACTTATTAACTAATTCATCATATAATTAAGTTAATAATATCCATTTGTGCTTCTTTTACTCTTAAAGCAAATATGCATTATATATAATTTCTCATATCATATTTCATGCATAAACAATTAATTCTTTTTATACAAGTTAATAATGTTGGCTAATCACATGTTTAAATATCTTTTAAACCTCATTATGAACACATATAACATTTATTTAGGTAATCTCATAATTAACCCAAAAGTTATAAGATATTAAGCCGTCCACTCACCTTGAACTAGCGTTATGAAGTTCTACCCTTCTTGGTTGAACTCCGGTGAAACTCCGGCGACTTTTGGTCAACTCCGGCGACAATTCCGGCGACTCTTCCAACTTTGTGAAAACACTTGAAATACCCTTTACAAGTGCCTAACAAGGTTTTAACATCATAAAACCTTAATCAATACAAATAACCTATAAAAGGTTATTTTCCGGTGAACCGGTCGTTTTGGCTTCTAAGTCCGTTCTTGGACATAGAATCACTCTCCAACCCATAAATCTATACTTATAACATGTAGAACCCTCTTAAGGATCCTTCACATGATATATATCTTATATGGTAGAAGAAAAATAAAGGAGAAGTTATAATAAGGTCATTACCTTAAGTATTCACACTTTTTCCTAACTTTTTCCTTCTCAAACCTCCTTCTTTGGACCAAAACCTCTTGAGCTCGTGCTGCAACAATGGAGGTGGTCTTGGGAGCTTTTCCTCTTCCTTTCTTGATGCTTTGGTCGAGCTCAATGATAGGGGTGAGAGAGGGCACACCCTTTTTGTCTCAAATGACAATAAGAGAGGGTGAGGGGTCCTTCTTGGTACTATAGATGCCAAATGGTCCTCCTCCACATATTAATTTGTCATTCCAGCCTACATGGGTCTTGTTGAGCACACAAAAACGTGGGGTGGCCCCCACTCATGTGGGAGGTCATCCCTTTGTGTCCCGATGTGTACAATCGGTCCCGAAAGTTGTATTTTTCGGACTGTTTTAAATATATTTTATTTTATCGGGTCCAATAAAATATATTACGTGTTCCCAATCGTAACGCCCCTTTGAAATAATATATATTCCAAAACTTTAATTTAGAAGTCTCCGAAATTCATTTTCGGGCTCAAGTCTGTTAAATTGTCGGTACCGGTATTTGGGCCTCTTTTGCCCAATCGGCCAACACAAGGCCTTTCCACGACCCAAGTAAAATATCCACCACCATATAAATATTATCTTGACCAAGATGAATAAAATATGTGGTCTCGGGAAAGTTGGGTGGTCCCCGCTCCCGATGTGGGTCCCACGTGCAATTTACTATTCACGCGAAAGAAATAATAAAAATTTACAACTTCGTAAATTCATTAATCCTTTAATAAGGTTCGATACATTATTTACATAAAAGTAAATATATTTGGGGACGGTGTTACAACGATGGCGTACGCTCTCAGGACGGAGAGTATGTCCCTTCGGATATCTTGGGGGAGCTGGGTCCCGATCTTCAGTATGCGTTCCGGTCGAGAGGCGGTGGTGATAGTGTATATCCGCTCCTCGGCCTCATTGATCTTCCTGGTGAGCATCAGGTAGGCCTGTCAATGGGTCGGGTCCGGGCCGGAACGTAGTGTTCCAGACCCGGACCCGCTAAGTTAAAAATGGATCCGGACCCGACCCGTTTACCCAGCGGGTCTGGAAATTTGGACCCAGACCCATACCCAACGGGTCTCGGAACCGGGTCGGGTAGACCCGGACCCATTCTAGACTTTGTCAAAATAACAAGGCCTGTAAATAAAATGTAAAACAAAGTGTGCAAATTTAAAAGCAAAATATATCTTAATTATACAAAAAAAAACAAAATTTCTCATAGAAAATTAATACTTTTATCCAGTAAAGTATCGGTTCTTGTAGAGACGTATAACTACACACTCTGTGTCGCTTTTTCTCGCACAAAAAGCTAGTAAAATAAACTAGAAATTAAGTCACAAAAATGTATCTTGGACTACTGAGAGTATAATGACATACGGAGTATTATATATACGATAATGATATAATAATATTGTCAATAATACTAATAAATATTATGCTTTGCGTACCAAGCCTAATACACACTTTATCAGTATGTATAAACGACCAAAATGGATATTAGTTTTAGGTTATCTCACTACCCCTATCAATATCGCTTATATAGTAGGTATGTATTAGTGTGTGTATTTTTAATTGAAAAAATACAATTAATAACTCTATGTATTATTATGTATACATGTGTGTGTATTAGTTTTTTATTTTATTTTATTTCAAGTGTTATAACTAATTACTTTATGTATTAGTATGTGGGTATACATATAAGAAATTTTAAACGGGTTCGGGTCTTTAACGGGTCGGAATCATATGTACCATGCCCGACCCGTTTATTAAAAGTACTAACGGGTCCGGATCCGGGTAAACGGAATAAAACATAGACCCGTACCCGTTAAAAACAACCGGGCCCGGGTCGGGTCCGGGTCTAGACCCGACCCATTGACAGGCCTAGCATCAGGGAGCAAACTCTGGCTATCTTCTGATTTCCCCTGGCGTAGCCGACGCCATCCTTGGTGGGGAACTTGAGGCATAGATGTTTCATGGAGATGATGGCCTCAAGGTCCTCCAAGGCCGGTCGGCCCCAGATCATGTTGTGGGCACTGTCCAGGTTGACGACCACGAACTCCATGTCAATCTTCGCCTGACAGGTACCGTCACCAACCACAACGGGGAGCACTATCGTGCCCTCGGCATCGATAGAGTCCCCGGTGAAGCCTGATAACGGAGTCCGTATCGGCCTCAGTTCGGTCTTCTTCAACTTCAGCTGCCTGAAGGTATCAACGTACATCACATTGACGGAGCTGCCCGTGTCGATGTAGTTGCGGTGAATGATGTTGTTGCCGATCTCGCACTTAACGACGAGGGCGTCCCTGTGGGGCAAAGGACCAAAGGGGAGGTCCTTGTCAGTGAAGGTAATGGCCTCCATATGTTGTCGCTTCGGCTGAGGGGGGGCGTGGGACACCTCACCAACGTATAGGGACAAAGCCCATTTTTTCCGTTGGGTAGCCGAGTCCCCTCCCGTGTTCCCGCCGACGATGATATGGATGTGATGCTTCTTCTGGCGGGGCTCTTCCTCGTCTTCCTCCTCACTGAGGGCGCCAATCTCCCTCTTCTTTCCGGAGGATCCTTCCCCCCTTTTGCCAGGGTTGACCCAAGTATTACTCTTGGGGGTGCCCTTGACAAATTGGGAAAGTTCCCCCTGCCGGACGAGTCCGTCAATGTGCCTCTTTAGGGTGGTGCAATCATCGGTCTTGTGGGATGTCTGGCGATGATACTTGCAATACGTCCCTCCTTTGTGGACTGCAAATATCTCTGCCTCCGATCTGGGGTCCTTCACGATGAGGCCCTGTTCCTCGGCGTGGTCCAGGATGATGCTCACCGGGTGGGTGAGGGGTATACGCTGTGCCTCCAACTTTGGGCGCCACGAGCGATCTTCTTTTCGTTGGCCGCCGGGCTCCTGGTGCGCCTTCTTTTGTTGGTTTTGTCCCTTGTTGGCCGGCGCGTGGTGGGGGTTGGACGAGGAGTCCTTCTTCTGTTGCTTCTCTCCACCCTTTTTCTGGTTCAGGAGCTCGTCAGCGTGCCTGTCTCCGCGTCGGAGCGCCGCGAGGTATGACCGCGAGGGCTCCGTGAACAGACTCTGGGCGAAGTGGCTCGGTCGAAGTGCTCCGCGGAGGAAGGCCAGGAGGGTGCGTTCATCGGCCCCCTCGCACTCGTCCACCTCCCTCGTCCTGTGATCGAGGAAGGCTGGGAGCGTCTCCTCTGATTGTTGTTTGATGATCAGGAGATGAGTGAAATGTTTCTTCGCACGTTTCCTCCCGGCAAAGTGGGTGAGGAAGCGCTGAGCAAGGTCCTGCCATGAGTCGATGCTCCCCTCCGGAAGGTTGTTGAACCAATCGTACGCCGGTCCTTCCAAGGTGGAGAGGAACCAGAGGCACATGTACTCCTCCGAAGCGTTGGTCATCATCATATTGTTCTGATAACGGGTGAAGTGCTCCTGGGGATCAGTGCGGCCGTCATATGGCTTGATCGGATTCCCCTTATACTTCTCTGGGATAGGGGTGGAGAGCACCCTCGCAGAGAAGGGGGTCCTGGTACGTATCTAGATGACGGGCTCGTCGCGCCGGTCGGCCAACTCTCTTTCCAGAGCACTGACTTTGTTCAGGAGTGCATCGTAATTGGGATGCTGGGATGTATGGGCCGCCGCGCGTCCCGCAGCTTCCCGAGCCTCCATGTCAGCCAGGCGCTTCTCTAGGCGGGCAATGATCTCGTCCCTGGGGTCCCTAGTGGCCGCAGCGCCACCTAGTGGAGTTTGGATCCGAGTTGCGTGGGCCTGGTTGATCTGGTGACGCGCATCATCGTCATCCAACTTTCCTTTGCCTTTGTCTGGTCGGGGCCGATCCGTTGTCCGGGAAATGGACCCGAAGCTTTCCTTTGGTGATCCCGGCTCGCGGCCACCCAACCGATCCGCCACCCTTCCCGTAGGTACCCGACGGCTCGCGATGTCACCCAGCCTGTTGAAGGCCGAGATTTTACCACGAGGTTGGGCCGGTGTATCCCGGGTAGGAGAGGCAGTATGGGAATGGGTGTCCACGGCGAGGATGCCTTCGTCATTGCCGAAGAAGGTGACGCCAAGCGGGTGAGGTGGGGGTGGCGGCACCGTTGCGACCTCTCTAGTCACAGGAGTGTTGTTTTCTCCGGTCTTTGCGACAAGAGCACCGACCACGTTGGGATCCTGGAGAATGCTTGCGACGATGGCCGATAATGCGGCCGGGTTAATCTGGGGGACAGCAGGGTGAGAAGCCTGTTGGCCCGAAGCGCGATCAGCAGCGCGTCTGTCCTCAAGCCCGATGCGGGCGTCTGGAGCAGTCTTGTTGAGCTGGGTGCGAAGGTCAGCCGCTGCGTGCTCGACCTCCTGAACATCCTCTTCATGGACGATGGGGTCATTAGGGACGTTGTCAGCAACGTTTCCCTGCCCTTCCTGGTTCATAGGGGCGTTCCTACCAGTGTTCTTTGACCTAGTTCTTGTCATAGCTAGCGGTAGTGTCTGGTAGCGACGAAGGGTACTCACTTGATCTGTTCTAGGCTCTCAATGAAAGCACCAAATGATAGAGTATTAATTCTAGAGAGAGGTGAGAGCTAGAGAGAGAAAGTGAGTAATTATATTTCTCCACCCCTTATAACTAGCCCCAAGGGGTCTATTTATAGGTAAAAATGTGGACTTGGGCTCCTAGCCATGGGCTTAGGAGGCCCATTACAATAATCATGCCTTCTTTGGGCGAAATAGAGACACTAATGGGCTGAGTACAATACTTAGTAAATAAAGTGAAGAGATGTATTCTGCCCGAACGAAGCCTGACCGATGCGGTGCCTTTCGTTTGATGCGGTCCCATGGCCGATGCGGTCCATGGGCCGATGCGGCCCCAGAAGCCCAATGTGTGCTTCCAGACCCGGTTGAGTTTCCGGCCGATGCGGGCCCCCACAGGCCAAAGGGGGCCGCGTGAATGTTTTTCTGGCCATAGTTGACTTGAGTATGCGGGCCATGGGGTCTAGGCCCATATACTCTATCACTTGCTTTTTGAATTTAGATTGTGTGATGATTACTACTTTTTTAATTATGTTACAAGAGATATTTGGTTCTTGTCACACTAATGAATTTAGGACTAAAACTGCTTGATTGCTTGAATATTTACTTTTGTACTTCGTGTGTTTTGTGGTCCTTTGAATAAATAATTTACTAACAAGGATGTTTATATTAACAAGTTGTTGGAATATATTGTTTTGTTGATGACAAACGACTAATCACTGTCTATACTCTTGTCCCAAAATCAGGCCAATTTGGCTGTTTTTTTCTAACCTTTTGCAGGTACAGACGAGCCAAATTCAAGATCTCAAACAGAATTTATACAAATGGTGGCTGGGGGGGAATCAATGACAACACAAGGAACACTCTCAGGCAGATTTTACCAGGCGTAATAATGTGGCAGACATGGAAAACATACAATTTGACAGTTTGGGAGAACAAGCCACTTATAACAAAGGACACTAGTACTGACATCAAAGCTTACATCTTCAGATGGACAACGATACATGGAACAAGAAAGTACATTAATTTTGACGAAGAACTACACTTGGAAGGACTCATGCCAACACTGAAATCGAAAAACAACACAGTTCAAGGAAAATGGCACATCACCTCACCGTGTGACTTGTGCTTAAATGTCGACGCAGCACACAAACAAGGAATTAGCTCGGGCGGTGGCATTCTACGAAACACCCATGGGCTCTTGCTGGAGGCATTTTCATTCTCAATCCAAGCTAATACACCACTACAAGCAGAAACTATGGCGGCCGAATCAGCTTTGCAAATAATATCAAATGGAGGATACAAGAACTTTGAAATTCAAACAGATTCAGAGATACTTTACAAAATATCAAAAGGTTTGAAGAAAGTACCTCCAAGTATCACAACTGAAATCCAACGAATCAAATCCCTTCAAGAGACACTCCAGGCGAAACTCGTGCACACCTACAGAGAAAGGAACCAAACGGCGCATAATCTTGCGCAAGAAGGACTGCGAGTAATGGACATATCACACTACACAGCAGCAAACTTACCCCACGAGGCCAAGAAAGCCTATGAACGAGACCTCCATGAAACGAAATTCTTCCGCGACACAGGACAGCTCCCGGTATGTCTCGCTCTGGATCGGAAAAAGGAAGCTCTCAAACTTGAATCTCCATCAAGAAGGACTAGGGTTATGGCCACACAATTTAATTTGGACATTAAAGGATTTTGGACTCTTATTGTCCTAAATCGGATGAGACCCGTCCTCATCAGCCCACTGAACAGATTAATCTTTGGGAAGTTACCTTTTAGATTTTAGAGTTCATTTCCCTTAAACTTGCGTTTTAGTCTTATTGCTAAACGCTACTTTGTAACTTTATCCTTTTTATCATTCGAATAAAAAAAAAAGATGACAAACGACTAGTGTTACTTTTGGTCTATAGGTGATTGCAGAAAAGTAAGATAAGTCGTGCTTTTGAACAAGCCGTAGACCTGAACCTGGAACTATCCTACAATGGA